TGTTACATTTTTCATTATACTAGTTATTTACTTCATTAGTATTCTCATTAATTGTTAAAACAACTCTACTTCAATAAACTAGTTAATTGTCATTATAGTTAAAGTCACATTTTCTTATTTTCAATTTATATTTGTAGGAAGAAATAGTAGTTCAATCATTTAATTAAAGTACTTAACATTTTATTTAAGTAGTTTTTACTAAATTAAAGTACTTCAAAAGTTGGTATAATTTTAATTTTAAAGTCACACATTAATTCTACTTTGCACTAAATTAGTTTGAAGTATTAATTAAAATAGTTTTAATTAGTTGCATTAGTTTTGTATCCATTATTATATTTGTTGTCAATTAATATTTGTTACATTTTTAAGATGGAAGGTGGTAGATATTCGGTTGATTTGGGTAACCTCCAACGCAATCGAAGGAACGAGATTGGGAGGAAGAAATCCCGCAAAGGTAAAAGAACTTGCCGGTTCTTCATCTCAAAGCCGAGATGATTTTGAAACGGGTTACCAAAGGCGAGATGGAGATGCGATGTCCGAAGAACAACTCTAACAAGAATTGGCCCGACATAATAACCGCTTTCTACAACAACAAATGCCGACGACCATTGACGAAGAAGAGCTTGAGGATGAAGATGCAGAGGAATTGGAACCGGAGACGGCCGAGGAGGAGGGTGCCGGCAGCCACGACGCCGACGAGCCTGCCTCATCCCAAACCGCCACCGCTAATAAAAAAAAGTAAGTCTGAACTAATGAAAAATAATTTTGATAAATGGAAGGACCCACAAACCGGCTATTGGCACGCAACTTGCAAGTGGTGCAACAACAATTATAGTTTGGGAACCTCCGGCGGATACGGATCCGCCGCAAGGCATCTTAAGTCAAAGCACCCCGTGGAGTATGCAAAATTAGGCGGCGGAACGGGGAAGCAAACTCAAATATCGAGGTTTGCGAATTCTCAACCTTTTGGTAATTTCTCCTACAATCAATGATGCACAAAATTTGACTGGTATGGCTAACTTAATTTGTGAAGAAAATTTGCCTTATTTTTTTTCTGAAAGTCTTACTTTAAGAGATTATGCACAAGGTAGTTTAAATCCTCAATTTAGAAATTATAGTCGCAAAACTGTTAAGAAAGAAATAATAAGGCTTTATAATGCGGAAAAGGCAAGGTTACAAAATTTTTTTGCAAACTTTGATGGGCGTGTTACTATTTGTTCTGACATATGGGAGGATGATTTTCATCATTTATATTATTTGGGTCTGACTGCACATTATATTGATGAGGATTGGAATATGCATAAACGTGTTCTTGCTTTTCATGAATTTAATGATCGTCACACCGCTGAACATATTTATATTTTGATTGAGCGTATTTTAATTGAGTATAATTTGATTGATAAGGTGTTTGCTATTGGTTTCGATAATGCTACTAATAATACTATTGTTATACCTAGATTGCGTGAGTTGTGTGGTGCCAATACTTTGATGGGTAGATTTTTTCATCAACGGTGTGCATGACATGTTATAAATTTATGTGTGCAAGACGGTTTAAAAGCGTTAGGAGATTCCATGGAGGTAATCAAGGGGGGATTAGACGTATTTGGGGTAATGGTCAACTTAGATTAAAATGGCAAACTTATTTGACTGAAAGAGGTGTGAGATATGTTGTTTTTCCTAAAGATTTGAGTATTCGTTGGAATAGTACTTATAAATTACTTAAAGTTGTTCTTAGATATAAAGAACATTTTCCTGCTTTTTTAAAAGAACATGATAACTATATTATAAACGCGGCTGAGATCGACACTTGCAAAAAAATTTGTAATGTTTTGATATATTTTTTAATGCTACTGAAACTTTTAGTCATGTTTATAAACCTACCGCAAACCAATTTATTCGTGAAGCTGTTAATCTCGTCGGTGCTTTTAAAGAATTTGAGAATGCCGTTTTCATTCATTATTTTTGTGATTATATGAAGGAAAAGTTTTTAAAATATTATGCGCATATTCCCCATATTTATGGTATTGCATTTATTCTCGATCCTCGTTATAGACTTGCTAATTTGGAAGATTGTTTCAACTTCTATTATCTTGCGTTTTTTGGTGAATTTCCAATGTATGACGATAACCCCATAGATCCGAAAACGGAATACAACGAGGTTAGTACTTTATTTTATGCCTTATTTAATGAGTTTCGTGCACAATATAGCAACGCTCCCCCTCCCCCGTCACAAACAACTTCATCTAAAGGAAAATCGATTTTTAAATCTGCATTTGGCAATCTTATGAAAAAAACAAAAACATCTCACGTCACTGAACAAAGCGCATTGAATGAGATTACTTTGTATTTAACATATGAAGTTGATTTTGAAGAAAATGATGACTTTGACGTTCTAGACTGGTGGAAGTCAAAAGAATTGAAAGAACGTTCCCGATTTTAGCACGGATGGCTAAGCAAGTACAATCAATGCCGATTTCAACAGTTGCTGTGGAACAAGAATTTAGTTCGGCCGGCAACGTCCTAACGGCATCTAGATCGAGATTGAGCGCGGAGTCTCTTGAGACGCTTATATGCTACCACGATTGGTTGAAGGCCGCACGTAGAACTTAAGAAATGAGCATCACCCCCTCCCAAGATTTTATGGATGACTCAACAACTGATGGTGGCTCTACCTATGCCGGAGATTCCGATTGATTAGTATTTTAGAATTTATTATAAAATGTATTTTGTAGCACTTGTCAAATTTATTTATACTTGTACTTCATATTTCAAAATTGTAAACTTGTACTTCATATTTCAAAATTGTAAATTTGTAGTTGTACTTCAAATTAATTTGTAAACTTGTACTTCATATTTCAAATAAATATGCGTTCACTTTTTCATATGTAGCACTTCTCAAATTAATTAATTGGTTACAAACTAACGACTTAAAATTATTTTTCTAAAATATAAATCCGGTTTTTAAATTAAAAATACATTTACAATATGTAATTTGTTTAAATACTTATACACCTATTTTGTAACATTTGTAAATTATAAATCAAACCACTTTTCTAAGTACAAATAGTTTTAGTTTTACTTAATTCATTAAATTAATTAATTTATTTTACAATATGTATAACTTTAAAAAAAATTGAAATCAAACCTCCCAAACGGCTATATAGCCGTTGGGGCTACGGGTGGGGGCAGGGGGGTCCCGGGGGTGGTGGTGTGGGGAGTGGGATTCAAAAACATCTATAAATACATCTATTTTCTAACATTTTTCTACACCTCTTCTCCAATTCTTCTCCAACTCTTCTCCATCTTCATCTTCTCTTATTAGTTATTATCCTACATTCCTACAATCCTACTTATACATATACCATTTTAAATACGGAAAGTACATCTTCCCTTATGCAAAACAATTTTGACAAGTGGAAGGACCCGAAGACCGGACTGTGGTGGGCAACTTGCAGGTGGTGCAAGAAAGAGTGTTGCTTGGGGCGTTCATACGAATACATGATGCCAATAAAACATATGAAGTCCTGTGACAAAGGGAAAACAACAACCAACGGTAGCGGAAATCCCAATTGATATTCATTAGAAAATGTATTTCGTATTGTTATTTTTTTCTCAATTCTCAAATGTAGTTCTTATTTCAAATAAATGCACTTGAACTTTGTTTTTAATAGGAATTTGTATAATATATAATTAATTTTAAAAAAAATATTGGCCCGGCCCGGCCCGGCGGGTGGCCCGACCCGTGACCCGGGCGGGTGGCCCGGCCCGAACCGGAACCGGCCATTGCCCGGGCCGGTCCCGGGCCTACCATTACCAGACCCGAGGCCCGACCGGGCCTAAGCCCGGCCCGGGTCCATCACTAAATGCAGTCACCTCAGCCAGAACTTCATAAATTCAGCATAATCAATCAGTTCAGCCAAATTCAGTGTTACTAAATGGGCTCTCAATATCCACTTAGTCTTGGCCCGGGTTCGGTCTGACCGGCCCGTGAACCGACCCAGCCCTGTACTGTTTGGGACCGTCCCGACCCGGTGAACCGAGACCGGTTCCAGGCCTAGGACCAGCCCGGGGTGTTAGGGCGGGCCGGGTAAGGGTCACCCCATCCTTTGGAACCGGCCCGGCCAGGCCCGATTCGGGCCTTTTTTTATTTTATTTTTTTATTTTTCAATTTTTTTGTTTTTCCCGAGTTGGGCTGGGTATTTTGGAGTGTTTTGGGGGGTGGGGATCGGGGGTTAATCAGAAAAGCGGCCTATGAGACCGGACCGGCCTGGACCCGGTATAAACCCGGGCCGGTTCCGAGCCTTCATCCAATATAAAATAGCCCAGTTTGGGACCAGCCCGGCCCGGAACCGTTCCATGCCTATATCCACTCTAGGTTGAACTTCTTTTCATTAAACTTTATCCATGTTTCATTCGAGACTGAATAAAGCCACTAATATAAAAGAAGCCGAAATACATTATTGACCGTTTGGTCAACATTAAAATTTACGTAAAGTATTGTACAAAGTTTATGGAAAATATCACATTGCTTACCAGCAAAGTCATTACGGTGCTTTATTAAAAGCATGCAAAGTATTTTATCATCTTCTCTACGTAAAATATTTTATATGATACAATATCAAATGTTTAAAATAAATGCATTATAGTTTACTAATATCAAATGTTAAAAAAATCCTATCCACATTAAAAAGTCTAATAAAATATTTTGCGATTTATTATAAACAAAAAAGCAGACTGAATAAAGCGGAGTAAAAAGTTTCATGATTCATTGTATACTTGACGAGCTTATACACAACCTGACAACCCGGATACACATCATCAAACCTTGGTTTGGTTAATTGGTTTGTTCATTCTAACGATCATTATCAATCAAACTCAAACATGTTTTCATTCAATGATAAAGATGTGAATAGTCAAACAAAAAATGTGAATAGTTCATCATCATCTTATTAAGGTGATGAAAAATACATGTGCATTATTGGAAGCCATTGCCTACTTGCCTGTGAAGATATGGGTAGAGACCTCAGAGCACTGGGAAGCAATTCAGAAGGCTTTGGTATGGCAATTTCGGTCTTATGGTTGGCTCTGCTTGGCCTTAGCTTCATCTCCACCATCATATTTTCCTGTTCCGATGGTAAACCTCCCAAAAGAGACACTACTGGCAATACAAATTATGTCGATAGCACCAACTGCGGTGGAGCATGCGGAGGTTGTGGCGGAGGTTGTGGTGGTTGATGATGCACACATACTTTGATGTTGGTAATTTGGCAAAGAGCTGTAATTCACCCTCCATCCCCGTTCATCTTATCTCTTTCTTTTTTCTAGTCTATCTCAATATAATTCTCATGTTTCAGTTTTTAGTGACCTTTTTGTATGGAATGGTAATTAAGCCCATATTTGTAAAGGTCGAACCGAAAAGATTAAAAAGGGAATGATGGAGTAATAATATACAACAGTGATTCTTTATTTACTTTTCTTTTTAAGTTTTCATAGTTTCAGTCTTTCAGATGTCTAACAATAGAGTAAAGATGAAATCACACATCTACCTAAAACCGCCAAAACTGTTAATTAGATTAAAAAACAGTAGTTGGGATCTTGGAGACTTGGACTCCATATAAACATGAGTACCTACAACATTGACCTGATCGCCCAATGAGTCCATGATCTTTGCACGATCTTTCTCTATTTTGTAAGTGATGAGCTTTTTCACATCCCTTGGCTTTTCCTGATTTCTGTTGACGAAATATCCATACGGAATTCTTCTGCTGGTATTGAGATAAACATGTCTTTCAGCTCCTCTGGAATTTCAAAGTCATCAAGCACCTGGAGAGGTCACGCAGTGAAGGAGTGTTGCTTTCACGAGCCTTTCGGGAACTAAAATGAGCAAGAAATTAAGATGACCAAAAAGGAGATCCCTGCATACCTTGAAAACGCCATCCACATTTCGGCCTCCCACCAGGAAGATACACCCTGTGTTCTTGCATCCAATAAGTGTCTCCAACATGTTTTGATAGTCATTTCTATAATACTTTGGCTGGAAAACAGTCATATCCTAAGTAAGTTTGGTACAGGCAAGATCTACCATATTGGCATTGTTGTAAAGAAACAGCCAAGCCTCTATCAACGTAGGATTAGCCACTAGGCTTTGTAAATAATCTCAAATCAGATCACTAATATTAATACGGTACAGAGCGCATTTAACTCATACAATTGAACTACTTTGATCTGGATAGCCTAAACACGAGCATATGGACTTTAAGATATACTCCGTATATCTTACTCAACAAATCATTATCTTCAATATTATATTTTTGGACTTACGTTTTGACAACAGGGACACAGCAGACTTCTGATGGAGCAGAAAAAAATGAACCTGAGGGAGGGGTGAAACACTTACAATTATCTGCACTAAGCAAAGAGGGACTCATATTCCCTAGAACCTTCATGGTACAAGGAGAGCTAAAGACAAACAAGGGAAGCTAACAGATTTTGATATTACTGAATTTTGGGGACACACATAATTTCATACCTCAGAAATTGATAGAAGTGCGGCATATGCCCTATAAAGGAGCAGTAAGGTTTCAAGTAGAGATGGGGAATTAAGAGCCAATATTTCTCCAGAGAAGTTGTGAGGGTTTACAGATTTGGGTACAGAATTTAGTGATGACTGAGGACTTCTATTTCTTGGATCTTGGAGATATTGGTGTGATTCTGGGTATGAGACAGTTAACCAGTCAGGGAAATGTAGAGGAAAATTTCAGGAAACTCAGCATAAAGTGCTCGGAAGATGGGCCAGAGAAACATTTGCTGGGAGATCCTAACCTTTGCAACATTGTGGAGCCCTATGCATCAATGTCCTTGCTTCTGTTCTTTCATGCTGTGAAGAGAGTGATGATGAAGGTTCAAGTAATGAAGCTCATGGTCCAGAAATCTGTAAGGTACGGAAGGGAGAGGCGCAAGGATGAAGTGGATGGTCAGAGCTGTTTCCTACCTCCTACATTGAGGACAAGGTGTTTATCGAAGGGGGGAGTGATGATAGGAACCTGGCAGGATAAAGCTATTACTAATAAGATAATAGCCTAATAGGGACCCGGGTAGAAGAGTGTTAATAATAGGGAAAGTTCCCGAAATAGGACTAAAACATTTTGAAAATTCCAAAATAGGACTGCCATGTTTTTTATTCCCAAAATAGGAGTAATTACTGTCAAGTTTGGAAAATACTGTCATGTTTGAAGTCTGGTACTGGCAAAACATGGCAGTAATTAGTCCTATTTTGGGAATAAAAATGTGACAGTCCTATTTTGGAATTTTCAAACTTTTTTAGTCCTATTTCAGGTAATATTCTCTTAATAATAGTAATATTAAGAGTATCATACATAGAAGCTAAGGAACAAGGGCAGGCAGAAATTGGGCTTGGAATAGGACTGGGAGAGAAGAGGCACTCTCAAACTTGCCTCATCTGTAATTTTTCCTTTTCAGTTCATCAACTTCCATTCTGAATATAAAATAATTTACGTTCAATTCTGGAGTTCCTATCAGTTTTGACCATCAGGCCATGTACATTATGACCAAGTTGAATGACGGGGTTTAATCATGAATTCCACCGCAAGCTAATTTTAACCCCCCCCCCTTCCCCAACCCTACACCTTACCTTCAAGCCTTATTTCTTACAGAACTATGTGTGGTTTTTGAAAAGAAAAAAATCAAAACATAAAAATATACCTTCATTACAAATCAAAACCAAATGAAACAGAAGAGCAACAAGCCAGCAATATATGAAAAGAAGCACGTACACAATTAGTGAAGTAAAAGGACTATCTTCTAAAAGCAATTTGAAAGCCCTTACATTTATAAGCCTAGCAGCCGTATCTGCGCCAATAACAAAAGCACTGCCAGGGAAAAGTTCTGCTTTTTTGTAAAAATATGGCTGGTTAGATATTATGACTGTCTTGCCTGCAACATCGTGAATTTTTTATTAATACTGAGAATGTGTGGTAAACTAGAATGGAAAAGCACTAATGCACACAAAAGTATGATCTTAGCATAAATACAAATAATATTTATACAAATCTGCTAACATATTTGCTTTGACAGAAATCAAGAAAGAATATTATTGGCAAATCTAACCAGATCACTGTAGTACCACTGTCACCATGGAAACCACAACCCCGTTCTAACATCAAGCACCCAAAACAATAAATGTGGTATATACACTAAAGCGGTTGTAACTTGTAAACTAAAGCTTGAAGACCCCATCAAAAGATGGGGAAAAAGCGTGCTTACACACAGTAAAGCTAAATATGGAGAAAATAGTGATATTACATAACTACTAGTCTACTACATTAATGGCACTCACTCAAATATGAAGTATCACTTACCAAAACATGCCAAAATGTGTACAGTTACATTTGAAACTAAAAGAACTTGAGGCTTTGAGTAAAAATACAACAACATCCAAGCCTTAGTCCCAAAAGAGTTCCGGGTCAGCTAACATGAATCGACACATGAAATTTCGAGCTAAAAGACAACTTAGAAAACTTTATTGTTTCCTTGAATATGTGTAAAGGTTTAAAGCAACACATATATATGAATGGAGGGAGTATTAAAGTTGAATGCTTAATTCTGAAATATTTATCATAGATAAAATGATAAAGGTAAAATTGTCTGTACTCACCGACATTTTTAAACTGTTTTACACGATCTTTGATTTCAGAAACTGTCAATGGAGGCTTGTCTGCATTGACTGCAGACAATTCAAAGCATGGATATCCACCGCTACAAATCCTGCAAGCAAACGGTGGTTATCTGCACTTAGAAGGTAACCTGAACATGATGACACCTTTTACTTAACAAATTAACAATAATAATGTTATTGTTATGCAGTAACAAATACTGCATAAGAAAATTCGTTTTCTTCAAACATTTCTTTATCTAAAGAACCCATTCACTATTGTACCTAACCTTCTTAAGATTATTCAAAGAAAAGCATGAGATCCTAAATATGTGGAACAGTCTTAATAACCCTCTTAACCAATTGACAGACAGTTTCTAAAACAATCTTTTACGTGTTGGTGAATGTACCTAGTTGCAACGTCCAAGAGATTAAGGTGACCATCATGCAAGGGGTTGAAAGAACCAGACAGGATTATTTTCCTCTCTGCTTTGACTAGATCTGCCAAAGATTTCTCTTATGAACTGCAAAAGGTAAATATGTAATTTAATGTATAAGCAGGGAACACGTACCACTTGAAAAAGGATAAACCTTAAAAGATACTTGACCACTGATAAGCTGCTCCAGCTCTTGGTCTTCATTAAATTGCCAACCAAGCTCAACAGGAATCTCCGATTCCGTTAAATCTGGAAGAAAATTATTTGAAGCCATGCATGCACTTGCTACTGCCTACAAGCAAACACGTTTGTAATTGCAATTCCTTAATCGTAAAGAAATCGACAAGAGATTCTCTAGAAACACGGAAGAGATTGCCAAATAAGATATTAACAACAGCTAAGGACCAAGGCCACAGGTAATTGCATCGAGATTTCATAAGGGCATTTGATTTTATTTGAAAAAGAAAAAATGACATTATGATAAATCAGAAATTTTACATCACAAAATAAAATATAAAAGCATAGGAAACAACACAATAACTCCCGGTCATTGCATTCATTATTAGACATGTAAAGCTTAATAAAAGACATGAACTGAAGACTGGTGACTATGAAAGAGGAAATTATCAAATGTCAGACACTAAAACTGGATAATATGCAAACAAACTGGATAATTGAAGCCCCACAAAATTATAAAATATTGCCGATATACTCATAATCTCATATACTGAGTTGAATTTTATTTTAGTAGTATACTAGTAACCCTTTTTATGGGAGCGCATAAGGCAGAACAGTAAAAGACTATTTTGTGAATTCCGTGTTTTTTGTATCTCCGCAAAAAATCATGAATATTAATTAATATTCAAATGAAAAAAAATCCTTAAATATATCTAATTATCTACTTATAGTCCAGTATTTGAGAATAAGCAAGTCAAAATATGTGGGAATTTGGTATGTGGAGCTCTTATCGGTGGACAATTAAATCAAAATAAAGCTGTCCTATGCTTTCAGAGCTTTATATTTATAGCCATGACTATTTTCCCTTTTTAAACATCAGAGAGCAATATCTTCATTTCATGATGTAGGCTATTATATTAGAATAGCATTCTTCACACACCTTAAGTAAGAATTGGCTTGAGACAAAATCTTCTTGCTCACGTGTTCGCAGACCCTAAATAAACACATTGATGAAAACAAAATAAAAAGACCTTCATGAATCAGGTCCAAGGCTCAAGTATACACTAGTAAAGATGGGATTAGATAGTAAGAAACATAATACCTTCGACAATGTGACTGTTGACACCAGTAGCCTTTCAGATGTCCTTGTTGACAAATGAAACCTTCATAAGGAACAAGATGAACTCAATAAATATGGAATATTTCCAAGATAAGCATATATGATACTTGAGCAACATGTCAGTGAAAATATAAAGTTATTACCGCATATCCAGAAAGAAATAGAGGTGCCACTAACAATCAGAATATATTCTTTCAATTTAAATATAAGATGATAATTATAAAACTAAATGTAACTAGATTTTCTTTTCATATGGTTTTCATTCTTTTATTATTCGTGACCAAGGATGAAGATCTAATGGATATATCGGTACGAAAAATGCTTGGTGTACACGTTTTTAGTGTAGCATGACTATCGGTGCCTCTAGTTTATGAAAACGACCTATGGTTATATCGAATATGGATATCAGCAAAAAATTTAGTGCGACAAAAATATTATTAAAAACTTGAAGTTTATAATGATAATATATATATGTATATATATATATATGTATATATATATGTATGCGTGTGTGTGTGTATTACACTAGATTAAGAGCCCATTTGGTAATGCCCATATCTGCTGAAATTATGATATTCTGGATAAAGTGGCTGATTCTGCTGATTTATGGGAAAAAAATATACTTCCTCCATTCTTTTTTAGTTGCAACACTTCCATTTTCACGTTTGCCAATGCACAACTTTAACCATTAATATATTTAATTATCTAATTGTAGGAATTTCAAAAAAATCACATTTTGAAAATTTAAAGTGAGAAGAATTTAATTATATATTTTTTTAAATTAATTTATTTGTAAATAAATATAATCAAAGTAGATCATGTAAATGTAAACTGAACTGAATTGGAAACTGAATATTCTTGTATATTAATCAAAGGAAGGGTTACACTTATATAGGAAATCCTAACATCTAACTAGTACATCTAGTACATGTAGTACAACTAGTACATGTAGTACAACTAACCTAACATCTAACTAGTACAACTAGTACAACATGTACTGATGTACTACAATAGGAATAGTGCAAAAAGTACAACATGTCCTACAATAGGAATAGTGCAAGAGATAGTATTCTTCACACACACACCCTCAAACTCAAGATGGGACAGCATAGACCATCGAGAGTTTGCCAAGGAGGAAGCGAAAGCGGGCTGCAGTGTGAGTCTTCGTGAAGAAATCAGCCAACTGTAGTGTGGAGCAAACGAAGGGCAAGGAAACCGTAGCCGACTGAAGGTGTTGACGAATAAAATGGCAGTCGATTTCAATGTGCTTTGTACGTTCATGGAAAACAGAGTTATGAGCAATCTGAATAGCGCTCTTATTGTCACAATACAGAGGCGTAGGAGAAGTGATAGAGACACCCATATCCGAGAGAACTGAGAAGCCAACGAAGCCAAACGACTTCTGAGGTAGCGTGTGCCATGGCACGGTATTCAGTTTCGGCAGTAGATCGAGCAACAACAGATTGTTTCTTACTTTTCCAAGAGATAAGAGAATCACCCAGAAAAACACAAAGGCCAGAGGTGGATTTGCGGTCACTAATATCACCGGCCCAATCAGCATCAGCATAAGCTTGGAGTGTCAAACTGGAGGCGGAAGATAATAGAATGCATTGGTGAATACTACCACGAATATAACGGAGAATACGTAAGATGGCAGCCCAATGCGTAGAGCGAGGAGCAGAGACATATTGGTTGATAGTATGAACAACATGAGAGATATCCGGTCGAGTCACAGTAAGATAAACCAAGCATCCTACTAACTCACGGTATTCAGTAGGATCTTCAAGAGGAACACCATCAGAGGCAGAGAACTTGGCATGAAGCTCAAGAGGAGTGTCAACAAGCTTGTGATCCGTGAGATGAGCGCGATGAAGAATGTCAGTGGCATATTTAGACTGTCCCAAAAGAAAACCCTTAGGAGAAGAAGCAACTTCAATACCAAGAAAATACCGAAGAGGGCCCAAGTCTTTCATCTCAAATGCACGAAACAAATGGCTTTTCACGTCAGCGATAGAAGCAGAGTCGGAACCAGTGATAATCATGTCATCCACATATAATAGGAGAAGAACTAGACCATGAGAGGTGTTCCGATTAAAGAGAGCTGAGTCGTGCATACTTGGTTTGAAACCAATGACAAGAACCACATCCTGAGAGCGAGCATACCAAGCTCGAGGGGACTGTTTCAAACCATAAAAAGCACGACGTAAGTGGAAAACATAACCAGATGAATGAGAGACACCCGGGGGAGGTCGCATATAAACTTCCTCATTAAGAAAGCCATTAAGGAATGCATTCTTGACATCAAGTTGATAAAGAGGCCACTGATGCACAGCAGCAACAGAGATCAATGTGCGAACAATGGTCATTTTCGCAACAGGAGCAAAGGTTTCTTCATAATCAATACCATATTCCTGAGAAAAGCCTTTAGCAACTAACAGGACCTTGTACCGTTCCAAGGATCCATCAGAATGAGTTTTGACCTTGTAAACCCATTTGCACCAAGATTCTTACCTGCTGGGAGTGGAACCAATTCCCAAGTATTATTCTGAGCAAGAGCGGTAAGTTCGGCATTCATGGCCTTAACCCAGTTGGGATCATGACAAGCTTCTTTATAAGATTTGGGCTCAAAATAAGTGTGAATTCGAGAAAGAAAAGACTAATAAGAGGATGAGAAACATGTATAATGAGAGAAACCAAATTTTACCGGTGGATGACGATTCTCACGGATAGGATACCGATGTGCAGGTGGATCAGGATCGTCCAAAGCAGATGGGGCAACCAGAGAGTCAGATGGGGGAGGTGAACGTGCAGCACGGCGGGAGTAGACCTGGGGGAACGGGAGGATAGGAGCATAGTCACACGGATCGCAGTACGCTTCGGTACGCGGTACGAAAACGGGAACGCGGATCGCGAATATTAGTAATCCGATACGCGGAGGGGTAGGCTTCTTCGGTACGCGATTTCGGTACACGGTACGCTGTACTCTTTTTTATGGTATGGTGAACCATAAACATATAAATTTTAATATAGTATAAATATAATTAATAATATATTAATAATTAAAATAATTAAATTTAATTAAATTGGGATGAAGCTGGCCATTTAAAATTTAAATAGAAAAAATCAGGGGTGTAACATGTAAATAGAAAATTGTACGACTTTGACTCTGGTAATTAATACAACCGAACAATACTGCCCAAGGAAAGGAAAGGGTGACACTTCCGGATCAGGAATAATAAATAAAATTGAAAGAAGATAAAATCGTATATCAAAACGACTTCTGGTGCGTCGTTTCATCCTCGACCTTAGTTTGGAAGAAATCGCTGGAAAATTCTAGTGGTCTGCGTCGCTTGGAACTTCAAGTCTGTCGGCGTCGTTTGGCTTGCCGGAACGCGTTTCGGAAGAGAGGCTCTGCGAACCCACATCGCGCAATACACGAACTCAACGATCCAAGATGCGTTCCCCAGTCGCGAACCAGGAGCGTACGGATCGCAAACGTACCGCGATCTGGAACGTTCGATCCGGAACGGAAATCGTGGCTTCTTCAGCGATCCGTGTAACTATGGATAGGAGTCTGTGGCGGGAATGAGGGAGCAACATGTATATCTGATACCTCTAGTGTGGAGGGATATTCCTCAGACGGCACATCCGTTGGGAAAGGGTCAAGGTGAACTAGATCCTCTTTGGTCACAGGAGCAACATGCGGAGGTAGAGTGTAATATGGCAGACGCTCTAAGAATGTGACATGTCGGGATGTATAGAGCTTTTTGGTGACTGGATCGTAACAACGATAGCCTTTTTGTTGAATACCATATCCCAAGAAGACACAGATGGCTCAACGAGCACTTAACTTGGTACGATCCTTTTTGGGGAGAAGTACAAAACATGTAGAACCCAAAACACAAAGGAGAGAGTAGTTAGGAACCTGACCATGAAGTCGTTCATATGGTGAGCTGCCAGAGAGAGGGGGGGTAGGCATTCGATTCAAGAGATAAGCTGCAGTGAGAACAGCTTCGCCCCAGAAAACAGATGGGACAGAAGATGACAGTAACAAAGATCGAGCAGTGTCAAGAAGGTGACGATGCTTCCTTTCGGCTCGACCATTCTGGGGAGGAGTGTCAGTGCAAGAGGATTGATGGAGAGTCCCAAGTTTGTCTAAGAAGAAAGTAAATTCATTAAGAGAATATTCCCCACCCAAGTCAGAAGGAAAAATTTTGATAGATGCAGAAAATTGGGTTTGGATCATGGCATGAAAATTTTGAAAGATATGGAAAAAATCAGACTTGCGGGTCATCAAATAAACCCATGTATAACGAGTGTAATCATCAACAAACGAGACATAATAAACTGAACCACCCTTTGTAGTTATTGGGGATGGACCCCACAAATCTGTATGGACAAGAGCAAACGGAGATGAAGAAACGGAAGTGCTTTTACTAAAAGGTAATGCAGACATCTTGGCAAGTTTACAACCACTACATTCCGAAATGTCACCAACAAAAAGGTTACCCAAATGACCTGATTGAGCTAAAAGCTTAAGACGCTCACTAGACAAATGTCCTATTCGAGAATGCCAAAGATAAAAAGGGGAAGATGTGTGGTCTTAACGGAAAGACGAAGCAGCAACAGGGGAAGACTTCAGTGGGAGGTGCAAGGATTCCAGGATATAGAGGTCACTAACTCTACGGCCGGTCCCAATCTGCTTCTTGGATTCCCGATCCTGCACAACACAACCAGAGGAAGAGAATATAACATCAAAACCAGAATCAGATAGTTGGCTGATGGACAAAAGACTAAGTGTTAATTGAAGGACATAAAAGACTTCAGAAACAGATAATGAACTAGTGCAAATGGAACCAATGGAGACAACATGCATGGGTGATCCATTTGCTGAGGCAATACTAATAGGGGAGAGAGGAGAGACACAATTGTGAAGAAGCGAGGAATCAGGGGTCATATGATGAGAACAACCGGAATCCAATATCCAAGTGGTTGGTAATATACCTGTGACATTGGAGCCATGCAAACCTGAGTGAATAGAGGAAATGGCAGAAGCTCGGGAAGATCCTCCCTGAATAGCTTCCATGAAAGCCTTATACTGCTGAAATTGCTCTAGCATATGAGAAGAAGGTATGGCTTCAGAGGTGGGTGCTGCCACGGCTGCAGAAGGGCGACATTGCGGTTGAGATGCCTAAGGAACAGAGGAGCCACCGGTATGAGAATTATGTCGACCCTGAGTTTGCTGAACACGCTTAGGGCATGCGTGTTTCCAATGACCTTTCTGATGACAATAACCGCACTCATCAACAGGAATGCGAGGTCGGCCTGAAACCTGAGTTTGATGGGATGTTGGAATGGGCAAGAGGGGTGCAGAGTGTTGTACTGGCGAAGAAGATCGAGTGACAAAAACAGATTGTGACGAAGTAGATAGATTCGCCACTTTGAACCGTGTCTCCTCAGCTATGAGCTCATGAACAGCCCCATCAACTAAGGGTAACGGAGATCGATGCAGAATAGCCCCACGTAGAGGCTCAAACTGAGACCGAAGAGCCATGAGAAACTGAACAAGACGCTTTTTCCCACGATACTTCACATAACTATCAAGTAGTTGCAGATCAGATGGTTCCATAGGAGCTAACTGATCCCAAAAACCAGTCATATCATTATAGAACACTTGAATAGATTTATCACATCGACTAGCATTACGGATTGATAACTCAAGTTCATACTCTTTTGCGAAATTGGACTCAAAATACATATTTTTCAAATACTCCCAAACATCCTTAGCAGTTTCATACTTTGAGAAATTCATACCAATACTTGATTCTGAAGAATTGTGAAACCAAGTCAAGATTTTTCCGTTTTCTCGCTCCCATTTCGCAAAATCAGTGGCATAAGTCTTTGACTCTTTATCAGATGGTGCTACAATTGAGCCAGTAACATGTCCCCACAAGCCTTGACCAGTTATAAAATTCTTCATGACCCTTGACCAATAAGAATAATTGGCCCCATTCAAACGGACACTAATACTTGAAATTTTATCTTCCGACATGATATGAAAAAGTACTCACAGATAGAAGCAAAGGTTCAGGAACAAAGTTACCGGCACAACGAGGTGTTGAGGGAGCAGATTGAAACAAAATGTTTGGTGAAACTGATGAACAATACTGAATAGTGACTGACGAACAGTAACTGAGTGCTGGAAGTGGCTGACGGTGCTCCGGCGAGGGGTGTCGGAGGTCGGAGGAAGGCTGGGATTGACAGGCAAGTGCTGACAGGTGATCGGCAGATTAAGGGAGAATCAGAATGCAGAAATGGGTTTTCAGATTTTGACAGAGAGAGCTGACTGAAGAGAGGACTGAAGTTGGTTCCCAGCACACATAAGATTTCGGATGCTGATTCTGAACAAAGACTAGAGAGGTGACTGAAGATAAACAGAGAATATCAGCTCTGATACCATGTAAACTGAACTGAATTGGAAACTGAATATTCTTGTATATTAATCAAAGGAACGGTTACACTTATATAGGAAATCCTAACATTTAACTAGTACATCTAGTACATGTAGTACAACTAGTACATGTAGTACAACTAACCTAACATCTAACTAGTACAATTAGTACAACATGTACTACAATTGGAATAGTGCAAAAAGTACAACATGTACTACAATAGGAATAGTGCAAGAGATGGAGTATTCTTCACAGTAAATAGTGTAAAATTTCTTATGTTGCAACTATTTAAGAACGGAGGTAAGTATTTTATTGATAAAATAAAGAAAACTTATACTCCCTCCGTATTTATATGTTCTCTACAATAGCTTTTGGCACAATGTTTTAGGAGAAAATAGTAGGGGTAATAATAGTGTAGAAAAAGTAGGAGAGAAGGTGGAAAAGTAGGAAATAGAAGATAAAAAGTAGAAAAAGTAAGGGTAATTGAGTATTTTTAAAGGAAAAACTTACCAAAAAGGGAAAGTGTAGCAAACTTTTAAATACATCCCAAATAGGAAAGTGTAGCAAACTTTAAAATACGGAGGGAGTATGAAAAAACAGTTAAAATGATCCTCTACAGTAACTTCAACCGATACAGGCAGAAAAGTAACTCCAACCTTACTTTTTCTTATTATTACATAATTCAGCGTGTGAAATCAAAAGTTACGAGTTTGGTAAAAAAAGTTGGTTGGTAAGTCTGATATGCCAAAAAAATAGGGTCACCAAATGGGCTCTAAATGTTACTACATCATTTTGGCTAGGTTGTTCTACCAAACTATAAATGCATAACGCACTTATACTACCTCAGTACCTGTGATCCAAAAAAGGAGCAAAGTTTGAGCAGAACACAACTGTTTAATGTGGGTAAGGTACTGTTTCTATAAGTCATTAGTCATATTTATAAAAATTTAAAATATGCTAGTTTAACAAAGTCATAACACCTTTTTCACAAATCTCATGAAAATTAAATTGTTTGACGAAACAAGACTCAGTTTGTAGAAAAGAAAAATATTTGTGATGCTGCACTCTATCTTTTGGGATGGAGGACGTACATGATAATTGAAATGTCTTCTGCAAATACAATAATAAATTGCTAGTGAAAATTGAACTCAGGCTCGAATAGAATTATAGGTTCAACTTTATGTTATGGACAAATTTTGGGGTCAAAAATATCAAAGGCACGGGGTGGGCCAAAGGGGTGCTCATCCCGAAGGAATTCAGCCCAATGAAGCCACTGAAAGTGGCTGACTTTGGGAGCAAGTTTCTTTATTTACTTTACTGTCTTTAATTCAGTTTTAGCATGTTTCCTAATTCAGTTTTAGGAAGTTTCTTAATTCAGTTTTAGTAAGTCTCCTTTATTCTATTTTAGGACTCTTGTATGACCTATATATATAGGGGTCCTCAGTTGATGTAAGGGAAGTTTCTTAACTCAGTTTTAGTAAGTTTCCTTTATTATTGTGTCTTGACAATGTCCGGCACTGAATTAATCTCAATAAAATCTTTTAATTTCGTTCTCTCTCTCTCTGCTCATCATAGATCCGAAAATTTATTCATCTCTTCACTTGAATTCTATTCCATTGTCTCGTTCTCGACCTTGGACGAGATCGTGTACGTGCGCTCTTAACACTTTCTTGTTACAAAAAAGGGAATGTGATATTACATTTGTAGAGAAAAGAATAATATTAACAATTGTGATTTATGAATGAGGAACACCAGGTCATACACTCTGCACTCAGCCATTCATATAGAATTAGAATAACATAAATTATTTTATTATCATTGTATGAATATTTTAGTAAATAAAGTAAATTTTATAAATATTATAGCACATGAATATGGAAGCACTCAGAAACTTTAGCTTGGTCTAGTGCTTCTACGTTATGGTAATTGGGTTCTTGATTTATGGTCAATAGATTTTTTGTTGGTTAATTGTTAGTTCAAACTGTGTATTGGTAATAGTTCTGGTAAATTACTGGATAAGTTTTGTGTGTTTGGCTTAGACTTATTTATTAAGTTTACAGATTTTAAAATTGATTAACATTTTCTCTTTGTGACAATAAACAATAATCGTATTATGAATAAATTTAAACTAACTTGAAAGGACATAATTAAAATGTTAAGCAAGCAACCACTTCAAGAAACAATGGAATGACATGATATAAAGCTTTAGATGCAAAGCAATAAGTACCTATGATCCCCCCGTTTGGGTTGTGTACTGGCCAGAGCACCTGTAAAACCCACACCTAGAGCTGGACATCCTATGTAAGGAAAAGTTCAACAGAAAGGATGCAGGTCACAGAGCAGTTTGTTAAATACTGAAATTTCATCCATTTTATCTCACAAATATGTTCAGACAATGAGATTTTCCCATCATTCCTAAAATATAACCGATAAGGAAAAGCACCTATGCAATTAGTCATATGTGAATTTATAGGACACAACAACAATAACCGGAAAATGTTTCTTTCCTGATACTATCAGTCACACAAGATCATAGCTATCACAAGGGATGCTAACTATTTGAAAAGAGCTATACAGAAAGTTATTGCTAACCATTGTTTCCAAGGATCATGCAGCTAATTATGCGATTCTGTTTCTTATTTATTTTTCAGTGAAGGAACGACTTACTCACTTGCAAGTAAGTTTGATCTAATCCAGAACAAAGCCAGATTTTTGCATCGCGTGGTGGGGGGTCCATGTGTTGGACCGTTATATTTCATTCACATTTATTCCACTTTATTTTCTACCTTATTGGTTATTTCCATACATAGTTTTTGTCTATTTTATGTACATACGTTAGCATTGTATTTAGAGCAGAATATTTTCTTTCCTCTAATTGCATGTAACCGCAGCCACTAAACTGTATATATACGATCATGTACTGGATGAATAGACACAGCAAAATCATTGCCAACCTATTCCATATAATATACTCTTTGTGCTCTTCTTATTACCATGCTTTGTCTTGTTGAACTTTGAGCTTAGTAAAAAAATGGTTAAATAAATTGAATGATGAAAGAAAACATATACAGGTGAGGGCAACACTCCCTCTCAAGACTAATGATTTGGGCTAAATCAGTTTGGGCCCAAATATTATTGGACTGTTTTATTCTTCAAGTATTTTAGCCCATTTGTATAAACATATAGTTAGCTTCTGTAATAGGGATTATTATTCATTCTTTTCAATCTATCAACGATTCATGTCTTCCGCTTTCTTCCTCCAAGAATTCTGCAATCATATGTAAATTCACATGGTATCAGATTAAGGCTTCGATCCTTACTGATTCTTTTTTATAATTGATTCTTCTTGCTAATCGGTTTCTATAATCGATTCAATTCTGCTTCATCGATTTCTATAATCGATTTCAGCTTCGATCGTTCGATTTATTTTCCAAAACCCTAATCACTATGGCTATGCCGCTCAATCCAATCGAGGATCCTTCATCGCCCTACTATCTTCATCCAAGCGATCATGCTGGACTGCGAGTCATCTACGAAACACTCACAGGAGATAACTTTGGTGCTTGGAAGAAATCAGTTTCTATGGCTATGGCGGTGAAGAACAAAATGGGCTTTCTGGACGAATCAATTGCGCAGCCGAGTTCAGACAACTCTATGTACTCTACCTGGTATCGTATCAACGCTCTTCTCTTATCTTGGCTGATTTACTCCATATCTCCTAATCTCCGCACTACCTTCCTATCTTTTACCAATGCTAAGGAACTTTGGGATGAGGTTCAACTTAGATACGGTAAAAGTGATGGTCCTAGATTGTTTCAACTTGAAAAAACCCTAAGCAATCTTTCTCAAGGCTCTAGGACTGTAACTGATTACTATAATTCTTTCAAAGAAATTTGGGATGAGTACTGTAACTTCAGAGTTATCCCTTCTTGTACTTGTGGTCATTGTACTTGCAATATTTCTGAAACCTATCAAAAGATAATCCAGAAAGAGTCAATTCTGAAGTTTCTTGTTGGATTGAATGAATCCTATGCTAATCTGAGAAGTCAGATTCTTCTTAACACTGAAAAAACTACTCTGTCTAGCATTTACTCTATCCTTCTGCAAGAAGAGTCTCAAAGATCTCTTCAGAACTCTTTTCCTATCACTACTTCTATCTCAGAGCATTCTGCTTCTGAAAAACTTCACGCTGATGCATCTGAAAAGTGTTTCCAACTCATTGGCTATCCTAGTAACTGGAAAGGGCCAAAAGGACAGAGAACTGCTCCTGGTTTTAAACCAAACTCCAATTCTAACAAAAACCATCATGCTCATTTGGCTACCAATTACAATGAACATACTCCAATTCCTACCAATTCAAACACAAACCATCAAACTCATTTGCCAGCCAATTACACTGAACTTGCCCCAACTTCTACCAATTCTACCACTGATTTTTGTGATCCCAATCTCTATGAGAAGTTTCTGCAATTTATTCAAGCTCAACAGCCTAAAACTGCTTCAGCTAATGTTGTCACCATTGCTCCTGATGATGATCAAACTGATTCTCACTATGACACAAAGTTTTTAGGTAAACATTTTGCTTTTTCAACTTTTAAATCTTCTCAATGGATTCTGGACACTGGAGCATCTGATCATATGGTTTATGATGCTTCTTTGTACACTACTCCAACTAAAAACATTTCCATAAATATCCAACTTCCTACTGGTAATTTTATTTCTGCAACTAAAATTGGTGATATAAAATTAAATTCTTATCTTACATTACATAATGTTTTATATGTTCCTAATTTTACTTTTAATCTCATTTCTATATCCAGTTTAACTTCTCATGATAATATCTCAGTTTATTTCTCTTCTAACCATGCTATATTGCAGGACCACCTTACCAGCAAAACGATTGGCTTTGCTGATTTAAGGAATGGCCTTTATCACTAATCCAGAGTCATCTTTAGCTCATATTCATACTGTGCACTCTGCAAATACTCAGCATATTACTTCTTCAGCTACTCTTTGGCATTTTAGACTAGGGCATTTGCCATTCAATAAAATTTCCATGCTTTCTGATTGTAATGTTTCTGATCCTGAAAAACAGTCTTCTCCTTGTGATATATGTCATTTTGCTAAACAAAGAAAACTTCCTTTTCCTATTAGTATTTCTCATGCTTCTAATGCTTTTGATTTAATACATATGGATGTTTGGGGTCCTTACAAAATAACTTCTTATACTGGTTTTAAATTTTTTTTAACAATATTTGATGATTACACTAGGTGTACTTGGGTTTTTCTACTAAAAACTAAAGCTGAAGTTAAATTTCATATGCTAAATTTCTATACTTTTATTGAAACTCAGTTTCAAAAGAAAATTAAAATCATAAGAACAGATAATGATACTGAATTCTTCTTTCCTGATTTCTATAATTCAAAAGGTATTGTTCATCAACTATCATGTGTTGAAACACCTCAACAAAATGGTAGAGTCGAAAGAAAACATCAACACATTTTGCAGATTGCTAGAGCTCTTCTTTTTCAATCTTGTTTACCTCTTACTTTTTGGACTGAATGTGTACTTACTGCTGTTCATATAATCAATAGATTACCTACTTCTATTCTTCATAATAAGTCTCCTTTTGAAATGCTATATAATCATCCTCCAGATTATTCTCATTTAAAAGTTTTTGGATGTTTGGCTTTTGCTTCAACTATTTCTTCTAATAGAACAAAATTTGATTCTAGAGCACATAAATGCATCTTTATTGGTTATCCTTTAGGTTCTAAAAGATACAAACTATATGATTTAACAACTCATAAAACTTTTATCTCTAGAAATGTTAGGTTCTATGAAATGTCCTTTCCATATAAAACTCAACATACTGAAAATAAATTTGATTCAAATTTCATAAATAAACAAAATAATAATGATTTTAATGACTACTTAAGCACTTTAACTAATCCTGTTTATAAGACTTCAAATGGTGCTGATAATACTAACTTGCCAAATACACATATTTCTTCTACTCTCACAAACTATTTGAACAATCAAATAAATGAAGAAATAGGATTGTTTCAGTCTAATAATAATGATAATAACTCTACTGCTAATGATTCTTTTAGTTCATTACACACAGATACTTCTCAGGTTCATGACAGTATTCCTGAAGATAATATTCAAAGAAAATCTACTAGAGTAAGATCTCTTCCAGTTCATTTGAGAGATTTTGCATATAAACTACCTAATTCTATTCTTCCAGGTAACTCTGAATCTTCTTGTAATTTTGTCAGGTACCCTATTCAAAATTACATCTCTTATAATAATTTAAATTCTTCTCATCACTGTTTTATTGCATCTCTTTCTAAAATTCCTGAACCAAAAACTTACAAACAGGCTATTAAATTTTCTGAATGGAAAAATGCTATGAATGATGAACTTAAAGCTCTTGAAAATAATAATACTTGGATTCTTGTTGATCTTCCTACTAACCAACATACTATTGGTTGCAAATGGGTTTTTAAAACAAAATTAAAATCTGATGGATCTCTTGATAGATATAAAGCTAGACTAGTAGCAAAAGGTTACACTCAAGAAGAAGGTCTTGATTATTTTGATACTTTTTCACCAGTTGTAAAGTTAACAACTGTCAGAGTACTTTTAGCTATTGCTAGTTCAAAAAACTGGTATTTACATCAATTAGATGTAAATAATGCCTTTTTACATGGTGACTTAAATGAAAATATTTACATGCAGCCCCCTCCTGGTTATTTACCAAAGTAATGATAATAGAGTTTGTAAACTTCTTAAAAGCTTATATGGTTTAAAACAAGCTTCTAGACAATGGTATTTTAAACTTTCTGAATCTTTAAAAACTTTTGGTTATAAACAATCTCAGGCAGACTTTTCTCTTTTCACTAAAGTAACTGAAACCTCTTTTACTGCTATATTACTTTATGTTGATGATCTTATTCTTGCTGGAAATGATATGAATGAAATTAATGCTGTCAAGTCTTTTCTACATCATAAATTTACTATTAAAGATCTTGGTGAATTAAAATACATTTTGGGAATAGAAATTGCTAGATCAAAAACTGGTATTGTTTTAAACCAAAGAAAATATACTCTTGATATTCTTTCAGATTTTGGGTATCTTGCTTCTAAACCATTTTCCACCCCTATGGATTCTAAACTTAAACTCTCAAAAAATGATGGCACTCTTTTAAGTGATCCCAAAACTTATAGGACTTTAATTGGTAGATTGTTATATCTTACTGTAACTAGACCTGACATAGCTTATTCTGTTCAAACACTCAGTCAGTTTTTATCTTCTCCTACTGACATTCATATGGCTGCAGCTCATAGAGTACTTAGATATCTTAAGAGTTCTCCAGGTAAAGGATTGTTTTATCCTTCAAAATCTTCTTTTCATCTTCAAGCTTATACGGATTCTGATTGGGGATCTTGTGTTGATACTAGGAGAAGTATTTCTGGCTATTGCTTCTATCTTTGGAACTCTTTAGTTTCTTGGAAATCCAAGAAACAATCTGTTATCAGTAAGTCCTCTACTGAGGCAGAATACAGGGCAGCTGCAAACGCAGTCTGTGAAGCCCAATGGATTGTTTATATTCTTAATGATTTACAAATTAAAAATCCTTTACCTATTACATTGTATACTGATAACAAATCCACATATCATTTAGCATATAATCCAATACAACATCAAAGAACTAAACATATAGAATTAGATTGTCATTTAATAAGGGAAAAGATTAATTCTGGACTTATAATTCGTACTCATATTCCTAATACTTATCAACTTGCAGATATCTACACAAAACCTCTTGGAAATCCTCTCTTCAAACAATTTGCAGACAAGATGAACATGTTGGACATTCATGCTCATCTTGAGGGGGCGTCTCAAGACTAATGATTTGGACTAAATCAGTTTGGGCCCAAATATTATTGGACTGTTTTATTCTTCAAGTATTTTAGCCCATTTGTATAAACATATAGTTAGCTTCTGTAATAGGGATTATTATTCATTCTTTTCAATCTATCAACGATTCATGTCTTCCGCTTTCTTCCTCCAAGAATTCTGCAATCATATGTAAATTCACACTCCCCCTTTCATATATGGACGACATCACCATAGCAGTGATCAATGATCACTTGAACATGTATTCACATAAAAATGCATCACTGACTAAGCATCAAGCCTACTAGCCTAGTACATTACATCCAGAGGCGGACCCACTAAGGGTCCCATGGGGTCCCGGGACCCCGTGGACTTCGAAAAAATAACCTATATATTATATATATTTTATATAAAATTATTTAGGAAATGTATTTATACAAAAACAACGACCAGGTAAACAAAAGATTGTAGTAGTCGAATGGTAGGAAATGTGGGTTTGGGGTTCAACCTAACTTGAGGTTCCAAGTTCGATTCCCAGTTGCTTCTCCTTCCTTTTACCTCCCATGTTTTTTTTATTGTTTCTTTTTTAATTTGCATCTTTTGTTTGGGTTTAATTAAAAAGTTTTCATTAAATGTTAAGATTAAATTAATACTACGTACTACCTTTGTTCTCTTTTAGTTGCAACATTGAACTTTTTGCACTATTCATATATTCTACTTTGACTATATTTCATTGATTAATGTATTATAAACTGAATTTTTTAAAAATATTGTTAAATTCCTCTCATTCTAAAATTTCAAAATATAATTTTTTTTTAATTTTTTTACTAATAAGGAATAAAAAATATTAATGGTCAAACTTGTGTGTTGACAAACGTGAAATGTTGACTGTTGCAATTAAAGGGGAGCGGGGGAAGTATATTTGTATTTATAAACGTTATTTTCAATATTATATGAATTAGGATGAAAAGATATTTCGGTATTGTACTGAGAGTTAAGGAATTTCAGAGTTCGATAGTAGTTCAGATATTCATTCAAATGATTTGTTATTAGTAAATGAAGAATTGGATCAGGTAATTGCTGAAAGTGCAGCTAATTTAACTGATAATCTACCTGAACAACATGTTAATTTTGTATCTTTGGAAGCTGATCCTGTAATTTTTTGCTTTATGCTCCCTCTGGTTCTTAATTAACTTGACACTTTGACTTCACACAGATTAAGAAATTTTACTGTAAAGTGCACTGTTTTGCACTGTTTTGGTGTAGAAAAAAAAGTGTGAAGTTTAATATGGGATGGTCTAAAAAGAAAAGTGTAAAGTTAATTAAGGACCGGAGGGAGTAATATTTGAATGTTTTGATGATGTAAGTTAACTATGAAGTACTATGCTAACTTCTTTAATACTCCGTATTTTTTAATAGTTTTTTATTAATTAGAGATACGCAAGGGTAGGGACCCCGTGCCTCCGACTTTCTGGGTCCGCCACTGATTACATCATCACACAACACAAACTTTATGACAGCCAAACTAAAACATGGAGAAATGGATAGCAAAAAAGAGACACATATGGCTTAATCTTTGAAGCTCCAGCCACGAAAAAAAGAAGTACCTGGTTTACAAAGCTTTAGTGCTCGATTGTAAGCCAGCAATGCCATGTCCTCTGCGGTTTGCAGACTAGCAGATTGAGCAGGGACCTGTCGATATCCGTACATTAGATTCAATTGGGGGGGGGGGGGGGGGGGGGGACGCCCCAAAAATCCACCATTTTGCTAAAACGATGGGGAAAAGGGACAATTTAACATAATTGAACCCACCTTACCGAGCAATTGGACCATAGACAGTCTGGAGTAAGGAACCACGGCCTCAAGTACAGTGTTGGAGGCTCCGGGAACCGACATCAACCACCCCAGCGCCTATTCAAATTCGAGTAAGCAATTCATCAAACATATAATATGTCTGAACACAGACGAGTACTTAAAAGGATGCAGGCACCTGAGAAGCTCCGCCGGAGACGTATAGGACCGCTTGAGTGGGAGTAGAGTGTATAGCTTCCACCAGAGTTCTCATACAACTGTCAGCCATCATTGCCGCCTATGGAACGATCGCGGTAAGGTCGATTTTGACTAATTGCGATGACTAAATGATAGTCGTTGCGCCATGCATGGGATTAGCTTTCTTAGATCAAATTAATGAAGTGTTTGGATTGTTTTTACTTTTTTTGGGGAACAGATTGTTTTTACTTTCAAAAGTGGTTATAGAAATAATAATAATAATAATAATAATAATTAGCAGTCTTTGAAAAAAATGGTTTTGATAAATACAAAAGTTTATAATGTTTGATAAAGAATGTTTTTTTGTATAATAGAAAAATAGAAAAGCAATTTAAAGTGTTCGTCGCTTCTAATCCTTTATCATTTAAAGTTTTAAATGCTAAAACTTAATAGAATATGACACTTAAAACATCCCTTTCAGATTTTTTTAAACTAAAAAAGCTGAAAAGAATATTTTTGAATTTTTTAGTTTTAAGCAAAGTTGGTAGAGAAATCAAACGCCCTAAATGTTACTGCTGGAAGAGAGAAAAGTTATGACGATGATAATGATGATGAGTGAATGAAAACCCTAAATTATAATTTATGAGGCTTAATGTTTTCATTTTGCATGCTTTTTTTTGGTAAATTAGTAGGAGCTTCATGTCTTTCATTAATGATCAAACGAAGTTGAGAAATCCCAAACAAGTCATATAGAATGTGTAACGATAAAATGGGATCAACATTAGAATAGAATAAACACCCCTTTGGATAAATGTGCTCAACCTTGATCGTCCAATTTCGAGCTAACAACTCATAAAACATTCCGAAAGAGTGTCGGTGTGTGCACTCACCTTTCGCCATCAAAAGTTGAATCGCAGCATGTGAGTCAAGCTGCACTCGTACCTAACAGTACCCAAACTCCCGAGCGAACTGTAATCCTTGCACGGTCGCTCTCAATTCCCCCTGGTAATCGAGCAAATCCCCATCGGAATCACAGAAAATCCTCCTGCATCTGCACGTCCAGTCTCAAGAATAACCGAGTCGTCGGAATTTAGAGCAATCCACTCGAGTGATGGTGATGGCCAAGAGACACACACAACCATTCTAGTGGGGTGGACCAATAGATTGGTCACTATCAAGGCCACGTCCATAGTCTCTGCCCAGTGTTGGATACGCTGTGCAAGAGTCTCGAGGGTGTCAGGGTGGTGTAGATATCGGTAAATATAGCCAATTCATTCTCGGTCTTCCAGAGAGACCAGCATGTAACATCAAAGAGAAGACTAGTACTCTTTTCCTTCAGGTGGTGTGTGATCCAAGGAGGAAGTGGGCAATCCCTTCGTCCGATCAACAACAAGGTAGGCTATACGCTTCCTCGTGGTAACCGCAAAGGGACAGTCTCGTAACACGTTCAAAATTGTCTCCTCATGTTGACTCTAACGTGAGAATATGCCCTCCGTCGAAATATGTATGTGTTCTTTCATCATTAATTAACAATTGGTTGTGCGCCATAGTCCAAAGAAAATATCTAATACGATTGGGCTCACTACAATGTCAAACCACTCTCTAGTCATGTCCCTTATCTCTATAATATGCCCATCAAATAAGGTGTATGCCGACTAAATTCTGAAGCGATCATCCTTCTCAAGACCTTAAATAAGAGCATCATCTCCGCTGTTAGGGTGATGGGCACACACCTGCAATATGCAACACCAACTCTTCTGGGAGTAAAGGACGAAGAAGAGGAAAATCCCACTCACCAGAAGTTATGCAAAACTGAGCCATGGGGGACAAGAAGTCTGGCATTAAAGCAAAAGGAAGAATATATATGGTAGATCAGTTTCTTGCCCTAGTACAGCCAGCGAGTAACCCACAAAGTTGTGTTGCGTCCATTCGGAATTCATCCCTCATTCCAATTGCCACCGAAAGATAGGGTCATCACAATCCTACGCCAGATCACCGATTTGGAAAAGGAATGTCGCATCCGAGATCCCATCTCTGTCTCCCAGTAATACTTCAGAATCTCCACCCACAATTAATTTGGTTTAGTGAGGAACAGAAAATCCAGTTTTCATATATACCTGATTAAGTTGTCCCGCTTAGTGGGGGCCCAAACCACCATATTGTTTCAACTTTCAACCGACAGATACCATCCCAAGAGAGGAGGTGGATTTTCCTCTCTTCTGCGGTGGTACACCAAACAAAATTCTCGATTCGCTTATCAATTTCACTAGAAATATTACTAGGGAGCATCGGAGTTTGCATAAAATAAGCAGGAATTGCAAATAACACAGATTGGGCAAAAGTAACTCATCTTGTAGGAGTGAGCGTCGAAGCTTTACAACCGGCACGCTTCTGGTCCATATGATCCAGGATGGTCTGGTACGTACATTTGCCACCCTTTCATGGAGTACAGGACCCCCTAAATATCTACCCAAGTTCTACGTGGTCGGCATGCCAAGTAGACACAAGAATAACCTCAACCCGCACAACCCGCCCGACCCTACTTGACCATTTTAATTGGGTATTTGATTAAAAATATATTCATGGATTAAATATATATATATATATATATATATGAACCCGCACCTAATGGGTAGGGTTGCAGAATTAAAATCTCAAACCCGATATATATAGCTGAACCGGTCGAAAGTTCATTTTGTTATTATTATGCTACAATAATTTGTTGGATAATTTCTATTTAAGACCGATGTGATCTATTGATAAGTCCGTATTTTGACACGTATTTGATGCGTGTTGAAATCGGCTTTTGATGATTTTCCTAGTTTTAAGGTGTTACAAGTCTCAATTTTAGCTCAAGTTATGTTTACCGGGCGTTGGTTCGAGTTTTGTGTTGTTTGTAGTCAAAATCAGGGAATTTGAGCCCGGCACCGGCACTTGAGGAACAATCGGGATGATTTGAGAAGCATTTGAGAATGATTTTATAGATTTGGAGGTCACCGGAAGATTCACGATGAAAATTTGAAGGAAAAAGAGCTATAGGATTGGCTACGGGGTCAAAAGAAGATGAATGAATTGAAAACGACGATCATGATGACCTTCTGTCAATAGTTCAAGCATATCTCTTTGTAGAAACATTCAATGTACACGATTCAAGTTCCATAGGAAATACAACTTCAAGGGCTACAAATTATATGAAGACACCTTTGCGAGAATCTGAGAGGAAAAAGGTGAAAACAGACGATGAAGTCAGATGATCTCTGCTGCGATTTCAGAAAGACACCTTCCACCGTTTTGATCATATCTCTTGATTGGATGATTCAAATAACATTCGGCAAATTGGGGTGGATAGAGTACTTCATTATCTACAACTTTCATGAAGGAAGTTTTGTCAAATTCGGACGTTAAGTAGGCACGATCGTGCCCTCAAAGTCAGACACGATCGTGCCTGAAGAGAAAAGCACTGTGAAGTTACTGCCTGCCAGGCACGATCGTGCCTGGAGGGAGGCACGATCGTGCCTGCCCAAAATGCGCGTTTTTGCTCCGGAGGCACGATCGAAGGCACGATCGTGCCTGGCATCGTGTCTGGCTCCGAAAATCCTAATTCAGCTCAAATTTCACCCGATTTTTCTATTTAAACAGCCTGTAAACCCCCGTTTTAAAGGGGGGAGCTTAGAGAGAGTGCCTAGCACGAATTTTAGAGGGCTTTTCAGCCTTGTTCATCAATCTTTTGGGATTCTTTGTAAGTTCCACCTTTTTAATTAATGACAATTAATTCTTTTTATTCCAATTCTATTGATTCTTCAATTATGAATTGTGAGTAGTTTTAATTAGGGATTTGGGATTGATGAAGGGGTTAATCATGATGTATGGCTAGATTCTTTTCGGTTTAAATTGCATGAATTCCGTTTAATTTGTGTTTGAATAATTTAATTGATATCTTTTGTAACATAGAATCGCGACTAGAATTACAATTGCATGTAGAATAAATTAAGAGAGATCTAATTTGTTCTAGGACACATTCACACACACTTAATCGTTCGCTAAGAGATTAGTAGCGATTAAGGGGCCGTAAGCTCGCTCGTCTTGGCAATAATTTAGGATCCTGTCGCATGAGAGATCAGCCTGGTCCCCTAAATTATTGTACTCTACGCCGCGAGAGCGGTAAGAACTTAGTAATGATTAGCTAGGCTCAATTAAATTAATTTCATGTATGATGGATAGTCTACCCGGGGGGTATCTTATCCGAGGGGTTATTGTGGGAATAACTAGAGAGAAGTCAGAGTAAACAGGAGGAGAGAGAGTCGATTTTATTAAATGAACTCAGCGTGTGGAGTTGGGATCTCGTTTTTCTACAATGAGAAATGGGCTGCTATTTATAGCAGCAATAAATGCGATGAGAGTACACGTGTCAGTAATCCGACGGCCGAAGGGTCACATCAGCCGGGTGGCACCGGCAGTGGCACGTTCACCGCATTGAATGTGGTTGGCGGATGTGACGTGGCATTAAATGCGGTGGTTGGCTGTCTCCAAAAGGAATCTTCGATGATTGAGCATGTTTGGCCGAAGGCTCCCTGTGCAGCCGAAGGCTCCTTGTGTAGCCGAAGGCCTCGTGTAACCGAAGGCTTGGTTCAGCCGAAGACCTCTCTGATGCCGAGGGCTTGCTAGTGCCGAAGGCTAATGTTTTTCGCCGTTTTCTCCCAGTGGCTTTTTATGCTAGAGAAGGCTATTCTGTGAGTTCTGGAGCCTTCGGCCAAGGGGGCCGAAGGCCCCCCAGTATGTATTTTGGGCTACTTGGATGCTTGGGCCGTTGTACTTGGGCCTGAGTTGTTTCCTGAGCTCAATGGACTTGTGTAGGAGAAGTAGGAGTCTATGGGCCGGGGGTTCCTGGGCCATATACTCCATCAGGAGTCCCTCACTCCTTTTGCCGAAAGGTATTTGAGGGAAAAGGAGTAGTTGCGTTGATTTTCCTGGAGGCTTCCTCATTTCGTTGGGTGCCTTTGCTGGAGAATTTGTCTTCTGCTGGTTGCCGAAGGCTTCCCTCAGTTCCTCACATGTCGAGGGTTTTCTGAGGGAAGGTATACATAACCTTCGCAGGTCCGCCGGAGGCTCCCCTCAGTCTCTCACATGTCGAGGGGTTTCTGAAGGAAGCGTAGATGTATTGCCTTCATGTGTTGTGATGAGGGCTGCTTCATTTCCGCAAAAGACTCGGGGAAAAGTACTTGTGATATT